CCGTTTTCACCCACATCCCTTGTGGCCGCTGTCACCGGGCTGCTGGTGACCTCTAGTGGCGATGGGCTGGAGAGGGGCACGGTGACAGGGCAGGGATGGGAACTTCACCCCCCAACACAGGACTAGCCTGTGATCCCGGGGCCTGCACAGACTCTGTTTTGGGAATGCCCTGGGAATTAACTGGAGGTGCGTACCCTGGCTGGGGTTGGACCCCCACCTGCATCTCAAAGCCCCGCGGCCTCGTGCGGGCTGGGATGGGGTTGGCTGAAGCTTCCTACTGGGCTGGGTATGTCCCCACCATGAGGCAAAAGAGCCTAAAGGTAGTGGCAGGGCCGTGAGGTCCTTTACATGCAGCCACGTGTCACGTATGTGGGGCTGGAGGCAGCGGGTGCTGGGCTGCTCCTGCAGCGGTGACACTGTGGCCCTGCTGTCCCCACAGGGACACCATGTCCCTGTCCCCCCCTTCCTCGGCCAAAGCAGGAGCTGGTGCCAGGAGGGAGTCAGGTTTGCTCTGGGTTCGCCCTGGGGTACCCAGTGCAGCTGCAGGATGGGTAACAGGGATGTCCCACCTGGGGGCTTATTACAAAATAAATATCTCTTAGTTCAAATATCAGCATCTCCAGGCCAAGCACGAAGAGGGTAAAAGCTGTGTGTGAGGCTACTGGGGCCAAATGCCACTCGGGCCAGCAGAGGGACTAGCGGAGGGGCCGGCACGAGCTGGGCTGCCCCGCGCGTCTCCGGCTCCAATCCGGCTCATCTCCAGCTGGGCTCTGACTCCGCTCCCCTCTGCTCTGGATCTGCTCTGGCTCCGCTGCAGCTCTTCTCTGGCTCTGCTCCAGCTCTGCTCCGGGTCTGCTCCAGCTCCTCTCTGGCTCTGCTCTGTTGCGGTGCAGATCCGTGCTCAGCTCTGCACAGCTGCTCCTGCAGCTGCAACCCGGCTGTGCTGCTGCTCTCGAGGGAAACGTGGCCTGTGGCATTTTGTCCGGGCTGTTCCCACGCTCCAGAGCAATGCTGGGATTGTGCAGGGGGACCAGGGGGTAAGCGCCGGTGTTCGTCCTCGGGCTCTGCTCCCCTTGCTGCTCCTCAGCCCAACAGCGCTGGGTCGGGACCCTCTGCTCCAGCTTGTCCCCCCTCCTGGAGATGCCTCTCCCAGCTCGTGGGGTGCTCCCGGCTCATATCCAGGGGATGGGGCACCAGGATCCCGCTGCCCACCTGCAGCACGTATGGCAAAAAGGGACGGTGGTGGCTTGGGAAAGGTCCTAAACACAGAGGAGGAGGCAGAGCTGGGGCCGTGTCACCCTTCCATCCACTGGATCCGCACAGGAGGCCCAGCAGTCTCGGAGATGGTTTGGAGGAGCCGGAGGCCACACAGAGGCTCAGCAGGAGGATGAACCTGGACTGGGAACAGCTGAAGCCAAAACCAACTTGGGAAGGGCTGGCACTGGTGTAGGGCAGCGCCCTGCCCCAAACCCGGGCACGCCGAGGCTCCCGCCGTGGCACCGTCCTCGCGTGGCACCGTCCTCGCAGATCCACTGGCTCCAGCTTCCCGGAGCAGGAGAGAAACCACAGGGGAAAGTGATACCAGAGGAACCCCCCCCACAGGGGCTCAGGCCTCTGGCACGGTCCTACCGGGGCCGCTTCCCCTTCCCGGGGCTCCAGCACCGCGGCCGGGGCTGCGGGTGCCCGGCGCCACCGCGGTGCCGCCCGGCGCGCTAGAAACTCGCGGGCCGGATGAGCATGCGGGTGCCCTTGAGCGAGTAGCTGGGCCCCTGGAAATAG